GGGTCATGGTGGGGCTGGAGGAGCTGCAGGGCTTTTCCAGCCCAGAGGATTTGGATTCTGTGATTTTGTGATGCCTTACTCTGAAAGTACTCTTAAAATTGCCTTTTATCTCCTCCAGTGTTCTAGATAAACCCTGGATTAAAGCCTGAGCCAAGATCTTTAACTTGCATCTCTTCCCTTGTTTGACTGAATCGGTGTGCAGGTGCCGCGGTGTTGCACTCTGAGGAATACCTGAGTCCAGGATCTCCTTTGCCATCTCTGGAGGCCGCAGCTCTGCACGTTTTCCCCCACGCTGCTGCGTCACGCCGGCCCTCGCCTGTCTCACGCTCCTGCTGCTGCCAGCCCCCGGGCTGATGGCAGCCCTGCTTCCCAGATGTTGTCACGTACTGCTTGGCAGCAGCTGAAATGTGTCAATTAAAGCTGGGGCTGGCCAGGAGAGTGGCTGCTGACGTAAAACCATGAATCAGCCTCTATCAGGGGCTACGAGTGTGGGTTAGTTTAGTTTTTGGGAAAGGGGAGAGGAAGCGCAAAGGAAGTTTAGATAGAAAAAGAAAAGGGGGAGGGAGAAGATGTTTTTAAGTGGGGCTGATAAGATGCAGAAGGGCTGGGAACCCCGAGCTGACTAAGGAGGATAAGAAGTAAATGTAGGGGACAGGAGAACATGCTGACATTTCTGGTGGAAAGGCAATTAATTAACTTATTTTTTATTTGACAGAAGCAAAGTTCTCAGGCAGCACAGTGCTTGCCCTAATGCTCCCAGGGCTGTCTGTATGAGGGATGGCCACAGGGGAATTTTCCTCTCTGCAGGGATTGTTTTATATCTAATTTGGAAAAAAAGATACTTCTGGGGGGAAAAAAAAGGTATGCTGACTGCTGGAAAAACGTAGATCCAGATGACTTCATCCTTTGCATTGACACATTGCATTCTAAGCATGGTTTTCCTCCAGAGCATGTCTCTAGGTATTAAAATATCTGTTAATTGTTCAGCTGTAATGTAGCTAATAGCCAGGGTTCAGTTTTCTCTTGCAAAATAGCTTGAGTTCACATTTATTTCAAGAGATTGGAAAATTTTACTGCAAATGCTTTGTTTCTCTGAGCCTGGTCCGTAGGTAGCAGTGGTGCTGTTCTGGTGTAGATTTGAGTGTAATTGGTGCGTCAGCTCTTGTAGTTGTTAAACATTACATAACGACGAAGCTTTCTTCCCAAATGGGGCTGTTGTTTCCGTGCCTCTGTGCTGATACATTACAATAGGATCTTTTTAATTTTCCTCCCGCTCCTGCCACGCTGTGGACCTGCATGCACGATTTGTGTGGCTGGCTTGGCTCCTTGGCCGTCCCTGCACTCCCCGACTGTGTAGCTGTATCCTTCCCTTGACCCTGGGTGCCCGATGCTGCTGCCAAACCCCACAGTTAATGACTCTGCTCCTCAGTTCCCCTTCTGTAAAACCATGGCTGCTGTGGGTTTGGAGAGAACAGCCTGACTCACTGCAGTGGGGAGGGTCACAGGAAAATGCCTCTGAAGAAGTTTCTGGTTCTAGAGCAGGGCTTGAATGACAAATAAGGCGCTGGCCGAACACTGATGAATGAGGATAATACTGAATAGCTCTTTCCTTTATTGAGCATCATCCATTCTGGGCACTCGGCAAGGCAGCTGTCTCAGAGAAAAAATAGTCAGCATTTATAGAGCTTGATGGGGTATTATTATGCACAGAAGCTCTGTAGAAAGAACAGGCACCCAGATTTTAGGCTTTTCTCTAGTTTGAGTGCTTGAATTCATGTACCCTCAGTGATGTTGCCGCTATATGGTGCGTCTGTATGATTGCATACTAAATTTAATACCATTAAGTTGCTGGAAAGACATGTGGAAGTGTGATTCTAGAGTCCTTTGAGCTACCAGCAGTCCCAGAGAAATTCTGCCCCCCCCCCCCCCATGTATTACTTATAAAAGTAAAGATTCATTTTAAGTAAATCTCTTATTTTACTGAACAAAGCTAACGAAAGCTCCGCAGCAGCAGCAGCATATCAGAGGAAACTCCCCTTACAGACAAGCAGTGTTGAAGCACCTAGGTGAATAAACTGGGGAGAACAAACAAGGTAGCAGTGGAGACAGTGCTGGGTAGCTGCAGACATTTAACTGCAAGCCCTGGAAACTGCTGCTAGGTCCGAAATGGCTCTTTCCCAGCTCCTCATTTGCAGTGGCTCATGGTTAACAGCACAGTGTGCTCCCTGAGGCGGAATGGGGCCTGTTCCCTTCCTCTCCTCTCCAGGAGGCTCCTTACCACTGTTGGTTGTGCAAATGCCACCAGCTGAGATGGCCACCAGTGGCTCCTGGCTCGAAGATGCTGGTGTAACTGATTTTCTAACACTTCCCGCAGCCAGTTTCCATCACGAGGAGAAGTCAGGCAGCAGGCTTGCACCAAGGGGTGACATTCAAGTGTAAAGCTAAGGAGTCAACCTGCTGCCCACACGCTGGCTGAGGGACCTCAGTGGGCTTCCAGGAGAGGCTTCACACCCAGAGATGCTGCTAAAAGCAATGTGAGGGGCTCTGCCAGCTCGGGCACTGGACAAGGCTGGGGACAGCGAGGGTTTATAGGAAGCATCGCATCCAAGGCTGCATCTCCGAGGTCATGGCTAATGCCTGTTTTGAGAGAACCTGTAGAAGGATCTCCCCTGCCTGAAAGGGGCTCTATCGCGTGGCTAAAATAGAAGGGATGCAGGTAAACTCAGCAGTGGCAAGGACCAGTAGGAAAAGGCAGAATTCTCGGAAGAATTGCACAAATGCTTCTGATAAACCCTTGAGAGAAGACGCAGACAGTGTGCTGTCGGTTGCTTCATGTGATGAAGTGGTGAGGTGTTTCACTAGCCTGAAGGGCTTATCCCCCTATCCGGGTCTTGCAATTCTTTGGTTTTAAGGTTTGCGGAGCCAGAATGTTGTGATTCTTATGATTTTGATGATATCATATCATATGGCTCATGATTTTGCATCTGTCTGTACAGAGAGCCTTGTAAAGAGACATTGTTCCCTCTACAGGGGAGCAGCTGCTGGCACTGCAGTCTGCTCCTGGCAAAGGGGGTGTAAGTACTCCAGGTAGCAACTTTCCACATGCTGTGTATGTTCCTTGGCATCACTATTGATGGTTCTTGCTGAGATTCTCCATGTACTTGTGCTGATGGAGGTTCATGGGAAGGGCAGAGGGCCTGGGGTGACGTAGTAAGAGGAAATCTGAGTTTTGAACTGCTTGTTAGTCTTTTCTCAGCAGTGATTTGTATTTCCTCTTACCCTTTTGATAAGCTCATCCTCAAGGCCTGGCTGGATGTTGAACTGTTCAACTGTCGGCAGAGCTGGGTGGTTGGAAGGAGGCTGAGCTGGCCAGCTGGTTATTGATCTTAGTCCTGAAAATATTTTAGTAGAAGTTGTGTGAAACATCTGTGGAGATGAGGGAGAGAACGGGATGACTCACTTGGAGCACGCTGGCTATGACCCCCATGCTATAAATACAGCTATAAACCAAATGCTTCGTTTGAACAAACAGCACAATCTGCAACAGCATCTCTAGTGCTTTTCTGGTACCCATCGTGCAGGAACACTTAGACCAGCCCCTGCGGTCGGCGTTTGCTTCTTTCTGTCAACTGCAATTAGCCAAATTCAGCAACATTTGCCACAGAGAGGCTCAGCGCTATACTGCTACTCTCAGAGCAGTGTGGATTTTGCTTAGCATAAAAGATGACGTCAAAACCCTGCAGGGCAGGGAGAGATGACTTGGCGCTACAGTCCTGTCCCTTCTAATCAGATTTGTGCTATGCTCCACTTATGCTGTGGCCTAAACGAGTTTCTCCACGCTCCCTCCATACTCCTCCCCCTCATGCCTCGTCCTTAAAAGTCCCAAGCATCAGCCCATTCATACAACTGCCTCATATCTTCTGCCTCTCCCGAAACCTCTCCTGAAGCCTTCTCCTGGCCCTTCCCTTGAGGTGTCTGTCCTGCTCCTCCCAGCAAGATCTCTGCTTCTGGGACTCCTTGGCTGATCCTGCCTTTTCCCTTGGCACTCTCCTCATTGCTGTACTCTGCTCATCAGGTTAGAGGGTAAGTGCAAATTGCCTGCCCCCGGGGTCTCTCTGGCCTCCTGACAGCTAGCAAAGACCTTTGGTTTGCCTCTTCCACCTTGAGGAAGTCAGCAACCCTGCCTTCATCTTCTGCTTGCTCTACCTGGAGGAAAGAAATGTTCTTTG